TTAGGGAAGAGTAAGGATAGACATAAATGAATAAATAAATGAGAGAGAGAGAGAGAGAGAGAGAGAGAGAAGGGATGATAGAAAGAAAGTAATCTTATTCAAAAGAGAGAAAGATCTGAACGTTACGGTAGAGTAATAAATGATTGGCATGAGAGAAAAGAAAGAAAGACAGATGATGAGAACGGAAAGAAAGAAAGAAAGGGAAAGTAGAGAAAAGATGAAAGAAAGAAAGTCAAAATTCAAAGAAAGAAAGAAAACTGAGCATTAGGAAAGAAAAGAAAGTAATAAAGGATGAACATAAATGAATAAATAAGAGAAAGAGAAAAGAGAGAGAAAAAGGGATGATAAAAAGAAAGAAAATATTATTCAAAGATCTGAAAAGAAAGAACGAAAGAAACAAGTGGAGAGTAGAAAAAATGAAATTGACATGCATAGGTAAAAGAAAAGGAAAGAAAGAAAGAAAGAAAAGGATAAAAAAGGTAAGCAAGAAGGAAAAGAAAAGAAAGAAAGAAGATAAAAGAAGAAAAGAAAGAACGAAAGAAACATACAAAGTAGAAAAAAAAGGAAAGAAAGAAACATAGAAAATACAGAGAAAAAGATAAAGAAAAAGAAAGAACGAAAGCCTAGAGTAGAAAAGATAAATAAGAAAGAAAGAAAGAAAGAAAGAAAGAAAGAAAAGATAAAGTGATAAAAAGATAAAGAAAAAGAAAGAAAGAGGAAAAAGAAAGAAAGAGAAAGAAAGAAAAATATAGAGTAGAAAAGATAAGGAAAGAAAGAACGAAAAGAAATATATAGAGTAGAAAAAGATAAGGAAAGAAAAGAAAGAAAGAAATATAGAGTAGAAAAAGATAAGGAAAGAAAGAACGAAAGAAACATATAGAGTAGAAAAAGATAAGGAAAAGAACGAAAGAAATATATAGAGAGAAAAAAAAGATAAGGAAAGAAAGAAGAAAAAGAAACATATAGAGTAGAAAAAGATAAGGAAAAAGAAAGAACGAAAAGAAAATATATAGAGAGAAAAAGATAAAAAAAAAAGAACGAAAGAAACATACAGAGTAGAAAATGATAAAGAAAGAAAGAAGAAAGAAACATACAGAAAGAAAAAGATAAGGAAAGAAAGAACGAAAGAAACATATAGAGTAGAAAAGATAAGGAAAGAAAGAAAAAAGAGTAAAAAAAGAAAGGAAAGAAAGAAAGAAAAAAGATATAGAGTAGAAAAGATAAGGAAAGAAAGAAAGAAAGAAAGAAATATACAGAGTAGAAAAGATAAGGGAAAGAAAGAACGAAAGAAACATACAGAGTAGAAAAAAGATAAGGAAAGAAAGAAAAAGAACGAAAGAAAAATAAAGAAAGAAAAAAGAAAAAGAAAGAAAGAAGAAAGAAAAACAATAGAAAAAGATAAGGAAAGAAAGAACATACAGAGTAAAAAAGATAAGGAAAGAAAGAACGAAAGAAAATACAGAGTAGAAAAAGAAAAGGAAAGAAAGAATGAAAAAAGATAGAGTAGAAAAAGAAAAGAAAGAAAGAATGAAAGAAACATATAGAGTAGAAAAAAAAAGATAAAGAAAGAAAAAACGAAAGAAACATATAGAGTAGAAAAAAGATAAGGAAAAGAAAGAAATGAAAAGAAAAACATACAGAGTAGAAAAAGATAAAGAAAGAAGAAAAAAGAAAATATACAGAGTAGAAAAGATATAAGGAAAGAAAGAAAAGAAAAAAATATACAGAGTAGAAAAAGATAAGGAAAGAAAGAACGAAAGAAAAACATACAGAGTAGAAAAAGATAAAGGAAAAAAAGAACGAAAGAAACATTTAGAGTAGAAAAAAGATAAGGAAAAGAAAGAAAGAAAGAAATATAGAGTAGAAAAGATAAGGAAAGAAAGAAAGAAAGAAACATATAGAGAGAAAAGATAAAAAAAGAAAAGAAAGAAAAAAAAAATACAGAGTAGAAAAAGATAAGGAAAGAAAGAAAAAAAGAAATATAAGAGTAGAAAAAGATAAGGAAAGAAAGAAACGAAAGAAACATAGAGAGAAAAAGATAAGGAAAGAAAAAAAAGATAGAGTAGAAAAAGATAAGAAAGAAAGAAATAAAAAAATATACAGAGTAGAAAAAAAGAAAGGAAAGAAAAGAAAGAAAAGAAATATACAGAGAAAAAGATAAGAAAGAAAGAACGAAAGAAACATATAGAGTAGAAAAAGATAAGGAAAGAAAGAACGAAAGAAACATATAGAGTAGAAAAAGATAAGGAAAGAAAGAAAGAAAGAAATATACAGAGTAGAAAAAGATAAGGAAAGAAAGAACGAAAGAAATATACAGAGTAGAAAAAGATAAAGAAAGAAAGAACGAAAGAAACATACAGAGTAGAAAAAGATAAGGAAAGAAAGAACGAAAGAAACATATAGAGTAGAAAAAGATAAAGAAAGAAAGAAAAGAAAGAAATATAGAGTAGAAAAAAGATAAGGAAAGAAAGAACAAAAAGAAACATATAGAGTAGAAAAAGATAAAGAAAGAAAGAACGAAAGAAACATAGAAAAGATTAGGAAAAGAAAGAACGAAAGAACATACAGAGTAGGAAAAAGATAAAAGAAAGAAAGAAAGAAATATACAGAGTAGAAAAAGATAAGGAAAGAAAGAAAAAGAAATATATAGAGTAGCAAAAAAAAGGAAAAAAGAAGGAAAAAAGAAAAAGAAAGAAAGAAAAAAGAAAAGATAAGGAAAGAAAGAAAGAAAGAAACATATAGAGTAGAAAAAGATAAGGAAAGAAAAGAACGAAAGAAATATACAGAGTAGAAAAGATAAAGAAAAGAAAGAAAGAAAGAATATACAGAGAAGAAAAGATAAGGAAAGAAAGAATGAAAGAAACATATAGAGTAGAAAAAGATAAGGAAAGAAAGAAAGAAAGAAACATATAGAGAGAAAAGATAAAGGAAAGAACGAAAGAAACATATAGAGTAGAAAAGATAAAGAAAGAAAGAACGAAAGAAACATACAGAGTAGAAAAATAAGGAAAAAGAAAGAAAAAAAAGAAACATATAGAATAGAAAAAGATAAGGAAAAGAAGAAAGAACGAAAGAAACATACAGAGAAAAGATAAGGAAAGAAAGAACGAAAGAAACATATAGAGTAGAAAAAAGATAAGGAAAGAAAGAAAGAAAGAAATATACAGAGAAAGCAAGAAAAAAAAGAACGAGAGTAGAAAAAAGATAAAGAAAGAAAAGAAACGAAAGAAATATACAGAGAAAAAGAAAAAGGAAGAAAAAGAACGAAAGAAACATACAGAGTAGAAAAAGATAAGGAAAGAAAGAAAGAAAGAAAGAAAAACATAAAGAAAGAATGAAAGAAAAAAAAAGATAAGGAAAGAAAGAAAGAAAGAAACATACAGAGTAGAAAAAGATAAGGAAAGAAAGAACGAAAGAAACATACAGAGTAGAAAAAGATAAGGAAAGAAAGAAAGAAAAGAAATATATAGGAGTAGAAAAGATAAGGAAAAGAAAAGAACGAAAGAAACATACAGAGTAAAAAAAGATAAGGAAAAAGAAAGAAAGAAAGAAATATACAGAGTAGAAAAAGATAAGGAAAGAAAGAAAGAAAGAAACATACAGAGTAAGGAAAGAAAAAAGATAAGAAAAGAAAGAAAGAACGAAAGAAATATACAGAGTAGAAAAGATAAGGAAAAGAAAGAAAGAAAAGAAACATACAGAGTAGAAAAAGATAAGGAAAGAAAGAACGAAAGAAACATATAGATTAGAAAAGATAAGGGAAAGAAAAAGAAAGAAAGAAACATACAGAGTAGAAAAAAGATAAGGAAAGAAAGAAAGAAAGAAATATACAGAGTAGAAAAAAGATAAGGAAAGAAAGAACGAAAGAAACATATAGAGAAAAAAATAAGAAAGAAAAAGATATACAGAGTAGAAAAAAGAAAGAAAGAAAAGAAATATACAGAGTAGAAAAAGATAAGGAAAGAAAGAAAGAAAGAAAACATACAGAGTAGAAAAAGATAAAGAAAGAAAGAACGAAAAGAAAGGAGAGTAGAAAAAGACAAGGAAAGAAAGAAAGAAAGAAAATACAGAGTAGAAAAAAGATAAAGAAAGAAAGAAACGAAAGAACATACAGAGTAGAAAAAGATAAGAAAAAGAAAGAACGAAAAGAAACATATAGAGTAGAAAAAGATAAGGAAAAGAAAAGAACGAAAAAAGAAACATACAGAGTAGAAAAAGATAAGGAAAGAAAGAACGAAAGAAACATACAGAGTAGAAAAAGATAAAGAAAGAAAGAACGAAAGAAACATACAGAGTAGAAAAGATAAAAAAGAAAGAAAGAAAGAAACATATAGAGTAGAAAAGATAAGGAAAGAAAAGAACGAAAGAAACATACAGAGTAGAAAAAGATAAGGAAAGAAAAGAAAGAAAAGAAACATACAGAGTAGAAAAGATAAGGCAAAGAAAGAACGAAAGATAGAGTAAAAAAGAAAGAAAGAAAGAAAGAAAGAAAGAAAGAAATATAAAAAAAGAAAAGAAAGAAAGAAAGAACGAAAGATAAGAAAAAGAAAAGAAAGAAAGAAAGAAAGAAATACAGAGTAGAAAAAGATAAGGAAAGAAAGAACGAAAGAAACATATAGAGTAGAAAAAGATAAGGAAAGAAAGAAAGAAAGAAACATACAGAGTAGAAAAAGATAAAGAAAGAAAGAACGAAAAGAAACAAAGAAATAAAAAGAGAAAGAAAAAAAAGATAAGGAAAGAAAGAAAGAAAGAAAACATACAGAGTAGAAAAAAGATAAGGAAAGAAAAAGAACGAAAGAAACATAAGAAAAATATAAGGAAAGAAAAAAATAAAAAGAAAAAGAAAGAAAGAAAAGAAACATACAGAGTAGAAAAAAGATAAGGAAAGAAAAAGAACAAAAGAAATATAGAGTAGAAAAGATAAGGAAAGAAAGAACGAAAGAAAATATATAGAGAGAAAAGATAAAGAAAGAAAGAACGAAAGAAACATACAGAGTAGAAAAAGTAGAAAAAAGATAGAAAAGAAAAAAGAAAGAAAAAATATAAAGAAAAAAGATAAAAAGAAAGAAGAAAGAAAAGATAAAAGAAAGAAAGAACGAAAGAAACATATAGAGTAGAAAAAAAAAAAAGAAAGAAAGAAAGAAAAGAAAAAGAAAAAAGAAAAGAAAGAAAGAAATGAAAGAAATAGAGAGTAGAAAAAAGGAAAGAAAGAAAGAAAGAAATATAGAGTAGAAAAAGATAAGGAAAAGAAAGAAACGAAAGAAACATACAGAGTAGAAAAAGATAAGGAAAGAAAGAAAGAAAGAAATATACAGAGAAAAAAAGATAAGGGGAAAGAAAGAAAAGAAATATATAGAAAGAAAAAGATAAGGAAAGAAAGAAAGAAAGAAACATACAGAGTAGAAAAAGATAAGGAAAAGAAAGAAAAAAATACAGAGAGAAAAAGATAAGGAAAGAAAGAAAGAAAGAAATATACAGAGTAGAAAAAGATAAGGAAAGAAAGAAAGAAAGAAATATACAGAGTAGAAAAAGATAAGTTAAGAAAGAACGAAAGAAACATTTAGAGTAGAAAAAGATAAGGAAAGAAAGAAAGAAAGAAACATATAGAGTAGAAAAAGATAAGGAAAGAAAGAAAGAAAGAAACATAGAGAGTAGTAAAAGATAAGGAAAGAAAGAACGAAAGAAAAATACAGAGTAGAAAAAAGATAAAGAAAGAAAGAAAAAAAGAAACATACAGAGTAGAAAAGAAAAAAATAAAGAAAGAAAGAAAGAAAGAAATGATATAGAGTAGAAAAAGAAGAAAGAAAAAAGAACGAAAGAAACATACAGAGTAGAAAAGATAAGGAAAGAAAGAACGAAAGAAACATATAGAGTAGAAAAAAAAGGAAAGAAAGAAAAAGAAACATACAGAAGAAAAAATATAAAGAAAGAAAAAGAAAACATAAGTAGAAAAAGATAAAAGAATGAACGAAAGAAAATACAGAGTAGAAAAAAGAAGGAAAGAAAGAAGGAAAGAAAGATACAGTAGAAAAAGATAAGGAAAGAAAGAAAGAAAGAAACATACAGATAGAAAAAAGATAAAGAAAGAAAGAAAGAAAGAAACATACAGAGTAGAAAAAGATAAGGAAAGAAAGAACGAAAAGAAATATATAGATTAAAAAGATAAGGAAAGAAAGAAGAAAGAAACATACAGAGTAGAAAAGATAAGGAAAGAAAGAAAGAAAGAAACATACAGAGTAGAAAAAGATAAGGAAAGAAAGAAAGAAAGAAACATACAGAGTAGAAAAAGATAAGGAAAGAAAGAACGAAAGAAACATACAGAGTAGAAAAAGATAAGGAAAGAAAGAAAGAAAGAAACATACAGAGTAGAAAAAGATAAGGAAAGAAAGAAAGAAAGAAACATACAGAGTAGAAAAAGATAAGGAAAGAAAGAAAGAACGAAAGAACATATAGAGTAGAAAAAAGATAAGGAAAGAAAGAAAGAAAGAAACATACAGAGTAGAAAAAGATAAGAAAGAAAGAAAAAAAAGAAACATATAGAAGAAAAGATAAGGAAAGAAAGAAAGAAAGAAAAACAGATAGAGAAAAGATAAGGAAAAGAAAGAAAGAAAGAAAACATACAGAGTAGAAAAGATAAGGAAAGAAAGAACGAAAGAAACATAGAGTAGAAAAAAGATAAGGAAAGAAAAGAAATAAAGAAAGAAATATATAGAGTAGAAAAGAAGAAAAGAAAGAACGAAAGAAACAGTAGAAAAAAGATAAGGAAAGAAAGAAAAAAGATAAGGAAAGGAAAGAAAGAAAGAAACATACAGAGTAGAAAAAGATAAGGAAAGAAAGAAAAGAAAGAAATATACAGAAAAGATAAGGAAAAAAGAATGAAAGGAAAAAAAGAAAGAAAAGAAAAATACAGAGTAGAAAAAGATAAGGAAAGAAAGAAAGAAACGAAAGAAAAGATAAGGAAAGAAAGAAAGAAAATAAAAAGAAAAATAAGGAAAGAAAGAACGAAAGAAACATACAGAGTAGAAAAGAAAAGGAAAGAAAAGAAAGAAAGAAAGAAAGAAAAATATAAGGAAAGAGAAAAAGAAAAAAGAAAGGAAAGAAAGAAAGAAAGAAAAAAAAAGAAAAGAAAGAAAAGAAAGAAAGAAAAAAGATAAGTAGAAAAAGAAAGGAAAGAAAGAACAAAGAAACAAAAAAGAAAAAGATAAGGAAAGAAAGAAAAAAGAAATATAGAGTAGAAAAAGATAAAGGAAAGAAAGAACGAAAAAGAAACATATAGAGTAGAAAAGATGAGGAAAGAAAGAAAGGAAAAAAAGAAAGAAAGAAAGAGTAGAAAAAAAAAAGAAAGGAAAGAAAGAAAGAAACATACAGAGTAGAAAAAGATAAGGAAAGAAAGAAAGAAAGAAACATATAGAGGTAGAAAAAGATAAGGAAAGAAAGAAACGAAAGAAAAAACATATAGAGTAAAAAGATAAGGAAAGAAAGAAACGAAAGAAAGAAATATAGAAAAGATAAGGGAAAGAAAGAAGAAAGAAGGAAGTAGAAAAGATAAAGAAAGAAAGAATGAAAGAAAACATATAGAGAAAAAGATAAGGAAAGAAAGAAAGAAAGAAACATATAGAGTAGAAAAAGATAAGGAAAGAAAGAAAGAAAGAAATATATAGAGTAGAAAAAGATAAGGAAAGAAAGAAAGAAAGAAAATACAGAGTAGAAAAAGATAAGAAAAGAAAAAGAACGAAAAAAGAAACATACAAAGAAAGAAAAAGAAAAGATAAGGAAAGAAAGAAAGAAAGAAATATAAGAGTAGAAAAAGAAGAAAAAAAAGAACGAAAGAAACATACAGAAAAAGAAAAGAAAAAAGAAAGAAATATATAGAGTAGAAAAAGATAAGGAAAAAGAAAGAACGAAAGAAACATAGAGATTAAAAAAGATAAGGAAAGAAAGAATGAAAAGAAACATACAGAGTAGAAAAAGATAAGGAAAGAAAGAAAGAAAGAAACATACAGAGTAGAAAAAGATAAGGAAAAAAAAGAAAAAAAAAAAAAGAAAGATTAAAAAAGAAGAAAAAAGATAAGAAAGAAAGAAAAAGAAAAGAAAAGAAAGATAAGGAAAGAAAGATAGAAAGAAAAAAGATAGAAAAAAGAAAGAAAGAACGAAAGAAACATACAGAGTAGAAAAGATAAGGAAAAAAAAGAACGAAAGAAACATACAGAGTAAAAAAGATAAAGAAAGAAAGAACGAAAGAAACATACAGAGTAGAAAAAAGATAAGGAAAAAGAAAGAAAGAAAAGAAAAATATACAGAGTAGAAAAAAGATAAGGAAAAGAAAAGAAAGAAACATATAGAGTAGAAAATAAAGAAAGAAAAAGGAAAGAAAATACAGAGTAAAAAAAAGATAAGGAAAGAAAGAAATAAAGAAAAAGAAAAGAAAGAAAAAAAAAGAAAAAGATAACGAAAAGAATGAAAGAAACATACAGAAAGAAAAAAAAAGAAAGAACGAAAGAACATATAGAGTAGAAAAGATAAAGAAAAGAAAGAAAGAAAGAAACATAGAGTAAAAAGATAAAGAAAGAAAAGAGTTAAAGAAACATAAAGAGTAGTAAAAAGATAAGGAAAGAAAGAACGAAAGAAATATATAGAGTAGAAAAAGATAAGGAAAGAAAGAAAGAAAGAAATATACAGAGTAGAAAAAAAGAAAGAAAGAAACGAAAGAAATAGAGTAGAAAAAAGATAAGGAAAGAAAGAAAAAAGAAAGAAAATATAAGAAAAAAAGATAAGGAAAGAAAAGAAAGAAAGAAATATATACAGAAAGAAAAGATAAGGAAAGAAAGAACGAAAGAAAATACAGAGTAGAAAAAAAGAAAGAAAAGAAATAAAAAGAAAAAAAAAAGGAAAGAAAGAAGAAATATACAAGGAGTAGAAAAAAAGATAAGAGAAAAAAAATAAAGAAAAAGAAAGAAACGAAAGAAATATACAAAGAAAAAGATAAGAAAGAAAGAAAAGAAATATACAGAGTAGAAAAGATACGAAAGAAAGAAACGAAAGAAACATATAGAGTAGAAAAAGACAAGGAAAGAAAGAAAGAAAGAAACATACAGAGTAGAAAAGATAAGAAAAAGAAAGAAAAAGAAAATATACAGAGTAGAAAAAAGATAAGGGAAAGAAAGAAAGAAAGAAATATACAGAAAAGATAAGGAAAAAAGAAAAAGAAATATAAAGAAAGAAAGAAAGAAAGAAAAAACAGAGTAGAAAAAGATAAGGAAAGAAAGAAAGAAAAGAAAATACAGAGTAGAAAAAGATAAGGAAAGAAAGAAAGAAAACATATAGAGTAGAAAAAAGATAAGGAAAAAGAAAGAAAAAGAAAAAATAGAGAAAGAAAAAAGAAAGGAAAAGAAAGAGAAAGAAAGAAACATACAGAGAAAAAAAGATAAGGAAAGAAAGAAGAAAGAAAAATATACAGAAAAAGAAAGAAAGGAAAAAAGAACGAAAGAAAAATAGAAAAGAAAAAGATAAGGAAAGAAAGAAAAAAGAAATATAGAGTAGAAAAGATAAAGAAAGAAAGAATGAAAGAAAGAAATATACAGAGTAGAAAAGATAAGGAAAGAAAGAATGAAAGAAACATACAGAGTAAAAAAAAAAAAAAGAAAAGAAAGAAAAAGATAAGGAAAAAAAAAGAAAGAAAGAACGAAAGAAACATACAGAGTAGAAAAGATAAAGAAAGAAGAAAGAAAGAAAGAAATATAGAGTAGAAAAACAGGAAAAAAAGAAAAAAGAAACATACAGAGTAGAAAAGAAAGGAAAGAAAGAAAGAAAGAAACATACAGAGTAGAAAAAAGATAAGGAAAGAAAGAACGAAAATAAAAACATAAAGAAAGAAAAAAGAAAAAAGATAAAGAAAGAAAGAAAGAAAAAAGAAAATAACAGTAGAAAAAAGATAAAGAAAAAGAAAGAACGAAAGAAACATACAGAGTAGAAAAAAAAGAGAAAAGAAAGAAAAAAGATAAGAAAAAAGAAAGAAAGAAAAAAGAAAGAAATACAGAGTAGAAAAAGATAAGGAAAGAAAGAAGAAAAGAAATATAGAGTAGAAAAAAGATAAGAAAGAAAAAAGATAAAGAAAGGAAAGAAAAAACGAAAGAAACATACAGAGTAGAAAAGATAAGAAAAAAGAAAGAAAGAAAGAAAAAACAGATGAAAAGAAAAAGAAAAAGAAAAGAAAAAGAAAGAACATAGAGTAGAAAAAGATAAGGAAAGAAAGAAAAAAAATATAGAGTAGGAAAGAAAGAACGAAAGAAACATACAGAGTAGAAAAAGATAAAGAAAGAAAGAACGAAAGAAACATACAGAGTAGAAAAAGATAAGGAAAGAAAGAACGAAAGAAACATATAGAGTAGAAAAAGATAAGGAAAGAAAGAAAGAAAGAAACATACAGAGTAGAAAAAGATAAGGAAAGAAAGAAAGAAAGAAACATATAGAGATAAGAAAAAAAGATAAAGAAAGAAGAAAGAAAATACAGAAAGAAAAGATACAGGAAAGAAAGAAAGAAAGAAAATATAGAGTAGAAAAGATAAGGAAAGAAAAGAAAGAAAGAAATATACAGAGTAGAAAAAGATAAGGAAAGAAAGAACGAAAGAAAATATACAGAGTAGAAAAAGATAAAGAAAGAAAAAAGAAAAAGAAATAAAGAGTAGAAAAAGAAAAGGAAAGAAAGAAAGAAAGAAAATATAGAGAAAGAAAAAGATAAGGAAAAAGAAAGAAGAAAAGAAAGAAACATACAGAAAAAAGAAAAGATAGGAAAAGAAAGAAAGAAAACATATAGAGTAAAAAGATAAAGAAAGAAAGAACGAAAGAAAGAAATACAGAGTAGAAAAAGATAAGGAAAGAAAAGAACAGAGTAGAAAAAGAAACATAGAGAGAAAAAAAGATAAGGAAAGAAAAAGAAAGAAAGAAATATACAGAGTATAAAAAGAAAAGATAAGAAAGAAAGAAAGAAAATAAAGAAAAGATAAGGAAAGAAGAAAAAAGAAATAAAGAAAAGATAAAAGAAAGAAAGAACGAAAGAAACATAGAGAAAAGATAAAGAAAGAAAAAAGAAATAAGAGTAGAAAAAGATAAGGAAAGAAAGAACGAAAGAAACATACAGAGTAGAAAAAGATAAGGAAAAAAAGAATGAAAGAAAATATACAGAGTAGAAAAAAGGGAAAGAAAGAACGAAAGAAACAAAAGAGTAGAAAAATAAGGGAAAGAAAGAAAGAAAAAAAGATAGAAAAAGATAAGGAAAGAAAGAACGAAAGAAACATATAGAGTAGAAAAAGATAAGGAAAGAAAGAAGAAAGAAATATGCAGAGTAGAAAAAGATAAAGAAAGAAAGAACGAAAAAACATAGAGTAGAAAAAAGATAAGGAAAGAAAGAAAGAAAGAAAAAAGATAAGGAAAGAAAGAAAAAAGATAAAAGAAAAGAAAGAAAGAAAGAAATATACAGAGTAAAAAGATAAGGAAAGAAAGAAACGAAAGAAATATAGAGAGAAAAGATAAGGAAAGAAAGAACGAAAGAAACATACAGAGTAGAAAAAGATAAAGAAAGAAAGAAAGAAAGAAATATACAGAGTAGAAAAAGATAAGGAAAGAAAGAACGAAAGAAACATACAGAGTAGAAAAAGATAAGGAAAGAAAGAAAGAAAGAAACATACAGAGTAGAAAAAGATAAGGAAAGAAAGAAAGAAAGAAACATAGTAGAAAAAGATAAGGAAAGAAAGAAAGAAAGAAACATACAGAGTAGAAAAAGATAAGGAAAGAAAGAACGAAAGAAACATACAGAGTAGAAAAAGATAAAGAAAGAAAGAAAGAAAGAAATATACAGAGTAGAAAAAGATAAGGAAAGAAAGAACGAAAGAAACATACAGAGTAGAAAAAGATAAGGAAAGAAAGAAAGAAAGAAATATACAGAGTAGAAAAAGATAAGGAAAGAAAGAAAGAAAGAAACATATAGAGTAGAAAAAGATAAGGAAAGAAAGAAAGAAAGAAATATACAGAGTAGAAAAAGATAAGGAAAGAAAAGAAAAGAAAAACATATAGAGAAAAAGATAAGGAAAGAAAGAAAAGAAAGAAATATACAGAGTAGAAAAAAGATAAGGAAAGAAAGAAAGAAAAAAATATAGTAGAAAAGATAAGGAAAAGAAAGAAAGAAAGAAACATATAGAAAAGAAAAGAGAACGAAAGAAAGAAAGAAAAGAAAGAAATATACAGAGTAGAAAAAAGATAAAAAAGAAAAGAAAGAAAATACATACAGAGAAAAAAAAGATAAAGAAAGAAAGAAAGAAAGAAACATATAGAGTAGAAAAAGATAAGGAAAGAAAGAAAGAAAGAAACATAAGAGTAGAAAAGATATAAGGAAAGAAAGAAAGAAAGAAATAAAGAGTAGAAAAGAAGGAAAGAAAGAACGAAAGAAACATAAGATTAGAAAAAGATAAGGAAAGAAAGAACGAAAGAAATATATAGAGTAGAAAAAGATAAGGAAAGAAAGAAAGAAAAGAGTAGAAAAAATAAGGAAAGAAAGAACGAAAGAAACATATAGTAGAAAAAAGATAAGGAAAGAAAGAAAGAAAGAAATATACAGAGTAGAAAAAGATAAGGAAAGAAAGAAAAAAGAAACATATAGAGTAGAAAAGATAAGGAAAGAAAGAAGAAAGAAAAGATACAGAGTAGAAAAAGAAAAGAAAGAAAAGAAACATATAGAAAAGTAGAAAAAAGATAAGGAAAAAAGAAAGAAAGAAATAAACATAGTAGAAAAGATAAGGAAAGAAAAGAACGAAAGGAAAAAAAAAGAAAGAAAGAAAGAAAGAAATATACAGAGTAGAAAAAGATAAGGAAAGAAAGAACGAAAGAAACATATAGAGTAGAAAAAGATAAGGAAAGAAAGAAAGAAATATACAGAGTAGAAAAAGATAAGGAAAGAAAGAACGAAAGAAACATATAGAGTAGAAAAAGATAAGGAAAGAAAGAAAGAAAGAAACATACAGAGTAGAAAAAGATAAGGAAAGAAAAGAAAGAAAAGAAATATACAGAGTAGAAAAAGATAAGAAAAAGAAAGAAAGAAAGAAAAAAAGCAAGAAAAAATAAAAGAAAGAAATGAAAAAAATACAGAGTAGAAAAAGATAAGGAAAGAAAAAAGAAAGAAACATATAGAGTAGAAAAAGATAAGGAAAGAAAGAAAGAAAGAAATATACAGAGTAAAAAAAGAAGGAAAAAGAAAGAAAGAAAAAACATATACAGAAAAGATAAAGGAAAGAAAGAAACGAAAGAAACATATAGTAGAAAAAAAGATAAGGAAAGAAAGAAAGAAAGAAATATATAAGTAGAAAAAGATAAAAGAAAAGAAAGAACGAAAGAAACATATATAGAGTAGAAAAAGATAAGGAAAAGAAAAGAAAGAAAGAAATATACAGAGAAAAAGATAAGGAAAGAAAGAAAGAGAGAAAGAATAATAGAAAAAAAAAAAAGAAAGAAAAGAAACATATAGAGTAGAAAAAGATAAGGAAAGAAAGAAAGAAAGAAACATACAGAGTAGAAAAGATAAGGAAAGAAAGAACGAAAGAAACATATAGAGTAGAAAAAGATAAGGAAAGAAAGAACGAAAGAAACATATAGAGTAGAAAAAGATAAGGAAAGAAAGAACGAAAGAAACATACAGAGTAGAAAAAGATAAAGAAAGAAAGAACGAAAGAAACATACAGAGTAGAAAAAGATAAGGAAAGAAAGAACGAAAGAAAAAATATACAGAGTAGAAAAGAGGAAAGAAAGAAAGAAAAGAAAGAAGAAAATATACAGAAAGAAGAAAAAGATAGGAAAAAGAAAGAACGAAAGAAAACATATACAGAGAGAAAAGATAAGGAAAGAAAGAACGAAAAGAAACATATAGAGTAGAAAAAAAGATAAGGAAAGAAAGAACAGAAAGAAACATAGAGTAGAAAAAGATAAGGAAAGAAAGAACGAAAGAAACATACAGAGTAGAAAAAGATAAAGAAAGAAAAGAAACGAAAAAGAAATATAGAGAAAAAAGATAAGGAAAGAAAGAAAGAAAGAAATATACAGAGTAGAAAAAGATAAGGAAAGAAAGAACGAAAGAAACATATAGAGTAGAAAAAGATAAAGAAAGAAAGAACGAAAGAAACATTTATGTAAAGAAAGAAAAAAGATAAGGAAAGAAAGAAAGAAAGAAAGAAAAAAATACAGAGAAAAGATAAGGAAAGAAAAAGAAAAAGATACAGAGTAGAAAAAGATAAGGAAAGAAAGAAAAAGAAACATACAGAGTAGAAAAAAGATAAGGAAAGAAAGAAAGAAAGAAATATACAGAGTAGAAAAGATAAGGAAAGAAAGAAAAAAAAAATACAGAGTAGAAAAGATAAGGAAAGAAAGAAAGAAAAAAAATATAGAGTAGAAAAAGATAAAGAAAGAAAGAAAAGAAACATACAGAGAGAAAAGATAAAGAAAAAGAAAGAAAGAAAGAAATATACAGAGTAGAAAAAGATAAGGAAAGAAAGAACAGAAAGAAACATACAGAGTAGAAAAAAAGATAAGGAAAGAAAGAAAGAAAGAAATACAGATAGAAAAAGATAAAGAAAGAAAGAAAAAAGAAATATATAAGTAGAAAAAAAGAAAGAAAGAAAGAAAAAAATATAGGAGTAGAAAAAAGATAAGGAAAGAAAGAAAGAAAGAAATATACAGAGTAGAAAAAAAAGATAAGGAAAAGAAAGAACGAAAGAAACATACAGAGTAGAGAAAAAAGATAAGGAAAGAAAGAAAAAGAAAAAGAAACATACAGAGTAGAAAAAGATAAAAGAAAGAAAGAACGAAAGAAATATGAAAAAAGAAAAAAAGATAAGGAAAGAAAAAGAAAAAATATACAGAGTAGAAAAAGAAGGGAAAGAAAGAAAAAATATACAGAGTAGAAAAAGATAAAGAAAAAGAAAAGAAAGAAAAAAATATAGAAGAGAAAGAAAAAAGATAAGGAAAGAAAGAAAGAAAGAAATATATAAGTAGAAAAGATAAGGAAAAGAAAGAACGAAAGAAACATATAGAGTAGAAAAAAAGATAAGGAAAGAAAGAAAGAAAGAAACATACAGAGTAGAAAAAGATAAGGAAAGAAAGAAAGAAAGAAACATATAGAGTAGAAAAAAAGGAAAAAGAAAGAAAGAACAGAAGAAAAAATAAGGAAAGAAAGAAAGAAAAAGATAGAAAAAAGATAAGGAAAAAGAAAAGAACGAAAGAAACATACAGAGTAGAAAAAGATAAGGAAAGAAAAGAACGAAAGAAACATACAGAGAAAAGAAAAGGAAAGGAAAGAAAGAAAGAACGAAAGAAACATACAGAGTAGAAAAAGATAAGGAAAGAAAGAACGAAAGAAACATACAGAGTAGAAAAAGATAAGGAAAGAAAGAACGAAAGAAACATACAGAGTAGAAAAAGATAAGGAAAGAAAGAACGAAAGAAACATATAGAGTAGAAAAAGATAAGGAAAGAAAAAGATAAAGAAAAAGAAAAAAGAAAGAAAGAAACATACAGAGTAGAAAAAAGATAAAGAAAGAAAGAACGAAAGAAACATATAGAGTAGAAAAAGATAAGGAAAGAAAGAAAGAAAGAAACATATAGAGTAGAAAAAGATAAGGAAAGAAAGAACGAAAGAAACATACAGAGTAGAAAAAGATAAGGAAAGAAAGAACGAAAGAAACATACAGAGTAGAAAAAGATAAGGAAAGAAAGAAACATATAGAGTAGAAAAAGATAAGGAAAGAAAGAAAGAAAAAAAGAAATATACAGAGTAGAAAAAGATAAAGAAAAAGAAAGAATACAGAAAGAAAAACATACAGAGTGAAAGAAAAAGATAAAGAAAAAGAAAAGAACGAAAGAAACATACAGAGTAGAAAAAAAGATAAAGGAAAGAAAGAACGAAAGAAACATATAGAGTAGAAAAGATAAAGGAAAAGAAAGAAAGAAAGAAATATACAGAGTAGAAAAAGATAACTTGACGTAAGAAAGAAAGAAAATATACAAAAAAGAGAAGAAACAAAAAACGAAAAATGAGATTTTTTAATCATTTCTTACCAAATAAGGCAATACAGTTAGGGAGACGCAAGAGGTGTTAGAGACAAAAAAAAAATCACTATTAAGGCGAGAGAACAAGAAAAGACCAAGAATGAAGCAGGCAGAAGATAACGATTGCCATTGCATTTAAGTTTTTGAAGATCCGAGAAGAAAGAAGTTTCTCAAGATCTGAGAATAAAGAAACTGGAATATAGTTCCACAAATGATAAATACGATAGAAGAAAATATTAGCATAGAACTTACGGTTATATCTAATCATTTCAACTGTAATTGATCCAGTACTGCGCTTATATTCATAAAGTTTAGCTGCCATAGAGGAAAGTTCATCAAAACAATTATCATTGAGAGTAATTTTAGAAAAGGCATGCGTAAGCTACATTATAGCAATGGGAAACTGACTGAAGCCGAGATGCTAGGACAGGACCAAATCATTGCAAATTCTTCATTGGATTTTATGAAGAATCTCTAAATATACACCTGCAGCAGCAGCCTATATATAGCAGTAATATTCAAGGCAAAGTCGAACAGTAGACTTATAAATATGAAAGAAAGATCAGACAAGAAAAATTGTTTAACTCGATACAGTAAACCAACTTTGCTCGGAGAAAGTCTAGCAATTGAGGCAATATAATATTTCCATTTTGTGTTAGCGGGAAAAAAACCGTTATGTCTGACAATCTGCTGGGGGTGTGCATTAGCCTTGATGATGGTAAGGCAAAAAGCGTTCTCTCATAATAGCTTCATTTTGGAGGCGTTAAAATTAACAAGCCATTCCTTGCCCCAGTTAGCATCAGATTGTAAGTTATTTTTTTAGGTGAAGTTTTTTATGGGGCAAAGTGGACCAGATCGAATTGTTAACAAACAGGCATAGAGAAAGAAAGATAGAACTAAAAAACGTACAGACTAAAAAAGTGAAAGAAAAAGAAAAAAAAGAAAGAAAGAAAAAAGAGAAATGAAAACAGAGAAATTAATAAAGAAAAAAAGATAAAAAAGGAAAAAGACAAAAAAGATAAACAAACAGAACGATCAAAAGACAGAAAGGAAAAGAAATCATAGAGAGAAAAAGGAAAGGTAAGTTGACAAACAGACAAACATTCGTATAGAAATGAAGGAAGGAAAGAAAAACATAGATAGGTACCATTTATCCCGTCATGCATAGTGGCGGCCATGATAACTTAATAAATTGTATCGGGGATGAAAATGAGCGTAGTGATGTCTTAATTTCCAAAGTTTTAATAAACGTACCCACTAGCATACCCCCATTAGGAAAAAGGTTTATCAACCTGTTTATATCGCTTTTTATATTTTAAAATTCATCTATCTCAATTTCAATTCATTTCGTCCATGTTATTCTATTTATCTATCAATGGCCGTCCACATCTTTCTACTCGTTTGTTTCGGTCAATCTCTCCTGATATCTCACTAGTATTGAGGTCAGGTAAATAATAACCTCCTAAATTGTTAATATATGTTTAGTCATAACACGAAGATTCTTGCAACTGCACGCGTCGTCGCCTCTCCCCGCCAGAATGCCGATGAATTTGATTGAACGCTATTGGCTAGAATTTGGGTTAATTTAGAATAAGTAGGCGAGAAGGCACGTGTTCGTTTCAAAGAAGGCCGTTTGTGACTTTCGTTTTAATTGCCACTCTGGGCAGACACGTAAAACATTTCACACAAAGACACTCGTCTTTTGGGCTTCACAAAACGGACACGTTCATTTCATTTTTTCTCGCTTAATTTTCACGCGTCAGCAGCTGAGTGTGAATGGCTAAGATGGGTTAATGTATTCGCTTCAGTGATATGTATTTCATCATCAAACATTGAAATAATTAAGGTTTGGGAGGTCAGTGTTTGTCGAACGGATAATTGTTAACTGGAGTCTTTACTTGTGAATTTGCTGGCATCGTAATTGTATGGTCAATCGCTGGTATGGCAGTGGAAACAGATTGAGCAATAACTCTTGTGGTACAAACTCCCGAGGGATTATTTCCCTGACAACCCAAATCTTGGTCTCTTTAAGTTCAGTGTCAACCGATATCTATACTACTACCCTTCATTATACCCTTACTCCTCCCCCTCACTTATAATTCCACTAAATAACTCTCTATATTGAGTGGCTCTTGGGACTCTATAGGAGGTGAACTAACAATAAAAAAATACCGGCAAGAAGAGATTTCCGTAGATGTACCTAGGGATATGACATCTAATCTCAATCTAATCTGAATAAAGTGTTCAATTTGAGATTTCTTGCAGATTACCCGGACCGACAGCTTAAAAGGTCTAAACATTGTGATAACAGTAAGAAAGATTAGTCCAAACGTAAATAATGCAATAATGATGACTGCTCATTCCATAAATTCGGAGAGAAAGGAAATTAAAGGTTTTCAAAAACACGACATGATTGTAAAAATCTTAATATAGCCTTGTCGGTAGTTGGATATTGTCAAATATTTGAAACAATAAATCGAATCCATTACATAAGGTTCACACTATAGAAGGCTTATTGGCCACTCGAGATAGGGTTTACGTTAAGGGCTAGTTTATACGGATAGGAAGGGGAAGATAATGGTTAATTCTAGACATGAACTGGTTAAGATTGTAGTTATCAGGGAAACATCCCTTTGGGAATCTGTTCTACAAGAAGAAGCCGTTTGAGTGGTACTTACTCCTCGTTGATGGAATACGGAGAGAATGTAGGTGGTTTTTTTATTATGTAAGTGCCATGGCGGGTCCCAGTCGTGAAGTTTAGACCAGGAAGAACGAAGGAATGCAGTTCGTTCGAGAACTTTCGACAGTAGTAGCGATAGCGCAGCGAGAGACTTCGTCACATCCCGCCTGTGAGAGTGAGGTTGGGGTGTGGAAAATAATTCCTCTCCAAAAAGGACTGAATTGCTTTTGAAGTCTATCAAGACTAGAAAATGAAGACCGGGCAGCTGCCACTCAAATATGGCCACAGTACTCTATTTTCGGCTTGATCTCTCTCTTATAAGGATAGAGGATATCATGAGGGGGGGGCAGGTACTTACTGGAGCGGTTCAGGGAGCCGATCATTTTACCTGCATCTTTAGCGATGGATCGTATATAAGTAATCCACTTGATGTCAGATGTGAGTTTGAAGCCTAATATTCTCTCAAGGCATGGCGCATCCTTGAGGGGACATCCATTCATATTACTTAGATAATATTTCATCCAACAATCATTAACGGATCCGTTGTTTAAACTTTAACTTGCGGGAGCCTTGTTAATTTATTTGGCGGTTGCTAGAAAAACTTACGTACGCAGGTAAATAAGCGTGGGGTGGTTTCATTGTCAAATGTATTCGTGTTCCCAATAAGGATGACTTAAGATAAATAGTGTTATGGTTCAAGTTCTTTGTACCACGGTGATGGTCCAAGGTTAGAACCAATGAAAGTATAACATGAACACAGGTATGGAATACAAAGATATATTAAAACAGAAATATAATACAAAGAAGTAGAAGTATTAGTAATGACTATCAGATTTGGTTAGAGTGAACTATGTTGTCTTGACAAGTATCACTATTCCAATGTCCTTACAATATGCTCTCAATTATCTCTCCTCGTCTTACAATCTCCTGATACCCCTTGAGAGGCGCAGTATTGTCAGGAATAGTCCATTATTATTATGGGTAAGTTCCCATAACAAATAGTAACTACAGAATCATAATCAATCATAAAGAAGCAGTTGAAATTTCTGAGACACATAATGAGGAAAGACAGCTAAGAGAATTTAACACCCATTGGACTGGAATACAATAGAGGTAGAAGAGAATAGAGAGTTAACTACTTAATGAACCGTAAACAGAACAAAGAGGTGCGATAAAACTAAAAAAAAAGTGACAAAATGTTTTGGAGAGCCATAACTTATCTATTGAACGGACTTGGAATATGGATTTAGATTCTGCTAATGTTCACCCAGTAACAGAATCATGATTCTCTGAAGATAGATCGTTATTGTGAACTGGGGTATCAGCGTAACAAAGGGAAAGTGGAATCAATGGCTATATACAGGAAAGATAATGATTTACCTGAAGACTTGAAGAGGTCAAAATTGTAGTGATTGGGAAGACATTTTGTCGGGAGTTTGTTCCACAAAGCAGCAGTTATTGGAAAGAAGCTGTCCGAGGTAACTTTTTACGATTGAAATATGAAGGGAATAAGGATGATTACCCCTTTTATACGTGGGATGGTGAGTCCTACTTTTAAAGGAATATAGCCCGTCCGAACACACGCCATAGAGAAGCTATGTTTCGTCTGTCGGCAAAGGGATTGTAGAGCGAAAAAAAATTAACTAAAAGTGTTTGTGAAATCTGTTGACCGCTGTCAATATAGGCATATGAGAACTAAAGAACATTGCAATTAAGTCTCCTGGGGAGTGGATGTAATCTCCGCGAATGCCAGAGTCGGATGTAGGGCGTCAGAACACATGCCATGAAAATAGCAACGGAAAAGCAACAGGCTGGCAATGTTTCGTTTGTAGGAAAAGGACTAGTGGGGAAAATAATTCATCATATACAAAGCCGTGTAAAAGCTGTTGAACGCTGTCAGTATAGACAAATGAAAACTCAAAAAACATTGTAAATCTCCTGAGGAGTGGATGTAATCTACACAAAAGTCAGAGTCGAGATAAGTGAAGATTTTATTACATTTTTTACAATTAATGTTCTATCTCTTGATATTGAGCAATGCGGTTAAAAATAGTGCTGGACTTAAAAACGTTAACTTACAGAAATACATTGGTCGACCATTTTTTTTTTTTTACTTTTATTTTATTGTTTTTGTGTGTGTGTATTTCTTTAGCGGGTGTGGGGGGGTTAACCTAGGAACGTGATCTTTGTTACATTTATAAAAGGACAGAAATGTATGTTCGACTCTACGAAAGATGGTTGGTGCATCAATAATTTGGCTCGTCGAATCGAGTCTCAGGCGACTTCTCATCGGCGCCTTCTCCATGAGCGCATGCGTGTCGTACATCTCTCTTATTGGACGGAAGTTTTTCCTTTTGTTCAATAATCATTCCGGGAAGCAAATGGCATTTTTTCTGGTTTTCTCTTTACTTCCATAATTTCTTTTCTGTCTCTAAGCCTGGCGTAGTTCAGTATTGATAATAGCGTCTGCAACAATCGGATACACGAAAAATCGATTTAAAAGCACAGTCTATAGTTTATTTTATTTTATACTTTATAACTTAATTAAAAAAAGGTAGCTGGTAGTTTAACGGTAATCAGTACAAAAATGAAACTCATCAAATTGTGTTCAAATTCCGGCCGGCTCCCGGAGTGAGTATGACGATAAACTTGATCCGCGCCCTGGACAAGAGGATATACTATGTCCGACAGCAAGACCTCTGATCTGGAAGTTTTGAGGAGCGTGGAACCACCTCTTAATTGCTGGTGTTTCCAGGTCCACTGACCCGGGGTGGTAGCACCCGTTGGGGTCTCAGCTATGGATAAATAGTAAACCCCAAAGTGGGTTGAAAACACTATGAAAGTGTAAAATAGGTTTTAATACCAGAAATACTTTGTAAAAAAATATTACCAGCAATACATTAAAAAAATTACCAGCCATACATTTTTGTAAAATAAATATTACCAGCAATACACTTTTGAAAAAAAAAAAAATATTACCAGCTATACATTTTTTGAAAAACAATATTACCAGCGAAGGAAAATTATTACCAGAAATAGATTTTTGCGAAGGAAAATTATTACCAGAAATAGATTTTTGTGAAAAAAACATATTATCAGAAATACATTTTTGGACAAAAATATTACCAACAATGAAATTTTTTTCGGCATTAAATAACCCATTGATGTTGATATGCCTTAAAACAAACCAAACAAAAAATCCGGCCGGTTCTGTTCAGTTGACGTTCGAACAAATGTCCTAGGCAAAGGGAAGAATCAATCTCTTCTCGTACTCTCCAGTTATGGGAGCCTGGGATCTACAGACTTGGTTAGCAGACAGTCTAGGGAAAAAGAAATTCTGTATACTAAAAATTGGGCCAGTTCACCATCTTTCCTATTGAGTCATGACAACGAATGGAAAAGAAAGATGAAAATAACCCGAGTGCCTCTGGTATGAAGGAAAATGGCACTAAAATATGTATGTATAAAAAATAAGATTTCGTTCGTTTTACTTGGTCATTCTATGTGCATGAGAGTGGATCTGACGTAGATAGGTACACGTACACACACACACACGCACACACATGTATGAAGATAATGAGACAAAGTGGAAAAGTTATGAACGACGCGTTTCGCCAAGAACGTCTGTTGCATTTGCTTTCTTCAGGTTAGAATGAAAGACAAAGCTGTTTATAAGGAAAGTTTATTGGGATCTCGGAGGACAAGAAGCAGCTATAAACAAAGAAGCTTATAAAATCCAAGTACCAGATGCAAGAAAGTGTCTACCTGTCTGTTAGTTTGTTTTACACGCACACACACACACACACACACACACACACACACACACACAACCTTTATATATATATATATATATATATATATATATATATATATATATATATATATAATATTTCACAGAGCTCTGGTGTTAATAAAATGGTGTCTCGATGCAATATAACAGAGCTCTAAACTATATATAAATAAATATTCATCTTTTCCATGACTCGAGTTTTCATCTACAACACAATCTTAAAGGAGCTTATGAATTTATGTAATGGCCAGTTTTAGTTCAGCACCTGAAGATTGAGTCATTGCAACACCTGGGAGAACTATATATATATATATATATATATATATATATATATATATATATATATATATATATATATATATATATATATATTTGGTTGGATTGATGTGAATTTGTGAGCCTGGGTTTCACGCTTTTGCGATCGTCTGGGAGAAAATATCCGTTAATGAATGCAAGACATTAATTCGCTCACGTAACAAAAGATGTCAAAAGATGTCAAGCTGTTATTGCAAGTAAAGGTCTATACATCAAGTACTGATGAATTATGAACGCTATTTACATTTACATATGATGTATCCATTATAATAGTATGATTTTCGTAATCGTTCTGATGTTTTTGATCATCTATTTTTTTCGAATGTTATATAATTATTCTTATAACTTTATCAAAATAAGTTTATTGAGGTTTATATTTTGGAATTATATAATTTACCTTTGTATCCTTATTTTTCCTTGAAAAAATGTTCTATAACGTTTTAAAATAAATTGTCATTTCACATTTAGACTTTTTCATAACCTCGTTCTGATTTTTTTATGCTCGCTACTGTATATATATATATATATATATATATATATATATATATATATATATATATATGAAGAAAGAGTGTGGACATTTTAAAATTTATTAATCTGAGAGATTTTTATTACTTAAACGTTATTTTTAACGGGTATTAGTATTTCAGTAGACGCTCCGTTTATTTTTTTTTTCGACAGTATATATATTTATTTTTGTCTACCGGTGTGTATATTATTGAGAAGAATAGGCACTCTCTGGTTGGATCAAAATACTTTATATGGTAATTATTCAGCTGAGCTTTTCGCGATGGTACCTCAACTTAATGAATTTAAGCACACTTATATATTGGTAACAAGTTGAATTGATTAGATGTAATTGTAAGTTCTATGCTAAAATTCTTATTTTTTTCACTTCTCACGTGTGGAACCCTCTTTCGATTCCAACCAATTTTGATCTTAAAAAAATAAATTCACTCTCACTGCTTATCTGCTGCCTTGTTGATTACTCTTCTTCTATCGTTCTCTCTCCGTAATGATGTTTTTTCTTATTTTTTTACATTCATTGATTTTAGTGGGCGTCCTTATTGCCTTGCCTAGTATGGAATAATTAAAGCAAAACAAGAAGCTGGGAAATTATTTGGTTACTTGTTCCGTAACAGAAAGTATATGACACCTACTGCCATGCTCTATTTTTACATCAGATCAGACAAAAAAAAAACAGCATTGGTATCGTATATGGGTCAGAGCTGTTAACCCTAAACGCTAGCCATGTTTGTGTGTAATGAATTATTACTACAACCTCTTTTCCATAGACACCAGTCTGAAACTAATCTATCCCTATTTCTATTTTAAAAATTTTCAGAATAGCTATATCAGTTGCACCATTTCGGACCTATATAGCTAAGACCCGTCATACCACGTATATAAATTCGAATCATTTACATTCTGTTCATATTCAATTGATAAGAAGAAAGTTTCATTCGGATGGCCTCTTTCCAGGAAACGATACTTTGTGAAACGGGTTCCCTATTACTACAATCTTAACCTGTTCAAATTTAGGGACAACCATATATACGTTCAACAATCTCATTCAGTAATACTCTATCGTGAGTGGTTCTTGGGTCTTATTTTGGGAGGACAAAACTAAAAAAAGGCGAAACCAACATCTTGTATTGCGATAATTATGTCGGAAAACACTGCATTCAAAATTATGTATCTTACCTAAGCTGGAATATTGATTATAGGAACTGAATAAATATGGAATAACCAAAAATGATCTAGAAGACGAAACTCTGTGTTAGCGGGAAAGGCAAGCTTGTCCGCAGTGATTTTGAGGGGGAGGAATAGTTTTAAAATATGTCATAATGAAAGTCACGTGACTGCTGTGCGTTATAGTGAATGATGATAAGGATACTGCTAGTAAGTGCTGAAATGCTTATAAAATAAATGCCGCGAATAATAAATAGGTGCACTGATGTTCGAAGGAAGAATGCAGATGGTAAGATCGACGTCCGATCAACAAAAATGAATGTTGCAGATAATGAAAAGTGTCCGAATTGCGCATGCGTCTGCAAATTCTTTTTTTTTTTTTTTCGTGGTGGCGTTTCAAAAATTACTAAGAAAGAAAAAAGAGATTAAAAAAAAAAAAAAAGCAAAAAAAAGACGTTGGATACAATTCCGTTTCTTTTTAGTGGATAAGCTAAATCATTCTAAACCGAATCAATTCACATGATTACTATGAGGTTTTATTGCGATGTTTTCTCAAAATATATTCACTGAGAATAAATAAAACTTTCATACGACCGTGAGAAAATAAACGAAAAAAAAACCAATCACTCGGTGCGTGCGTATATTTGTTTGGATCTATCCGGGCGTGTGTGTGTGTGTGTGTATGTATGTATGTGTGTGCATTAGAGCAGCCGTGGGTTGGTGAACACATTTATACAAACAAATACGTACTCAAGGCGATATATACACAGCTTGTCAGGAAATGCGTAGAAATCGTACACTATATACATAAACGTGCATTATTCTAAACGTTATTTCGGAGAATGACCATATTTGAGTAGACGTCCTGTTTTTTATCATTATAAACAGTGTGAATTACGTCTATCGGAATTTGAGAGACTTAATAAAGAAAAGGTGCTCTCCCATAAGGTTCGAACCTGCCTCCCCATTTTCTAGTGGAAACCATCATTCGACCCGTCATGCTTTAGATCAAATCAGACGGTGGTTTTCCTACAAAAGCGGGATACGGGTTCGAAACCTTCCGAAGAGCAAAATTTCTTTATTAATTCTCCATTACTAATAACAGATTATGAATTACTAATTAAAATATCATGTTTACTAATATCATGACATGATTTTTTCACGATAGATTCCGAATATGTGACATCATTGCCTTCATTCCAATTCCAGATCATTGTTTTTCTTAATGGAAAGTTTTATCTTGAGTTCGACTTCTTGCGGGGTGGTAACATCTGTTAGGGTCCCAGCTATGGGGAAATAAAAGACCCCCATACACTATGAATATATAAAAATACATTTTTACAGTAAAAAATACCAGTAATATATATTTATAGAAATATTATAAACATTACCTATTATAGTAAATTTACCCACAGTAGTAGAATTACCAAAAATACCTACTTATAATAAAATTACTAACAATACATTTTATCTGTAGTTGAAGGTATATAGTCGCGATCAAAATATATTTAGCTGAAGACATAAGATTACGTTCAAAATATTGAGATTTCGGCATTATAATCCATAGAGGTTGGTATGTCGCAAAACAAAATCAAGCAACCAAACCAATCAATCAAGCAACCAAACAACCAAGCAACCAAACCAAGCAAGCAACCAAACAAACCAAGCAACCAACCAACCAAACAAACCAAGCAACCAACCAAACAAACCAAGCAACCAAGCGGTCAAACCAAGCAACCAAGCGACCAAGCAAACCAACCGATCAACCAAACAAACAACAAAGCAACGAAACCAATCAAGCAACCAAACAAACCAAGCAACCAAGCGACCAACCAATCCAACCAATCAACCAACCAAACAACCAAGCAACGAAACAAAGCAACCAAACAAACAAACCAAGCAACCAAGCGACCAACCAAACCAACCAATCAACCAACCAAACAACCAAGCAACGAAACCAAGCAACCAACCAAACAAACCAAGCAAGCAGGCAAGAAAGCAAGCAACCAAACAAACCAAGCAACCAAGCGACCAAATCAAGCAACCAACCAAACCAAGCAAGCAAGTAACTAAACCAAGCAAGCAACCAATCAAACCAAGCAAGCAAGAAACCAGCCAACTAAATCAACCACCCAACCAAATCAACCAACTAAGCCAGCTTGCTTGGTTGCTTCGTTGGTTGATTTGATTGCTAGCAAGAAACCAACTAAACCAAGCAACCAAACAACCAAGCAACCAACCAAACGAACCAAGCAACCAAGCGACCAACCAAACCAACCAATCAATTAACCAAACCAAGCAACGAAACCAAGCAACCAACCAAACAAACCAAGCAACCAAGCGACCAACCAAGCAACCAAGCGACCTACCAAACCAACCAATCAACCAATCAAACAACAATGCAACGAAACCAATCAAGCAACCAAACAAACCAAGCAACCAAGAGACCAACCAAACCAACCAATCAACCAACCAAACAACCAAGCCACGGAACCGAGCAACCAACCAGACAAACCAAGCAACCAAGCGACTAACGAAACCAACCAATCAACCAACCAAACAATCAAGCAACGAAACCAAGTAACCAACCAAATAAACCAAGCAACCAAGCGACCAACGAAACCAACCAAGCAACCAACCAAGCAACCAACCAAACAACCAGGCAACGAAACCAAGTAACCAAGCGACCAAACCAAGCAACCAAGCGACCAACCAAACCAACAAAGCAACGAAACCAATCAAGCAACCAAACAAACCAAGCAACCAAGCGACCAACCAAACCAACCAATCAACCAACCAAACAACCAGGCAACGAAACCAAGCAACCAACCAAACAAACCAAGCAACCAAGCGACCAACCAATCCAACCAATCAACCAACCAAAAAATCAAGCAACGAAGCCAAGCAACCAACCAAACAAACCAAGGAAGCAAGCGACCAAATCAAGCAACCAACTAAACCAAGCAAGCAAGTAACCAAACCAAACAAGCAACCAATCAAACCAAGCAAGCAAGTAACCAGCCAACTAAATCAACCAACCAACCAAATCAACCAACTAAGCCAGCTTGCTTGGTTGCTTGGTTGGTTGATTTGATTGCAAGCAAGCAACCACCTAAACAAAGCAAACAAGCAACCAAGCAACCAAACCAACCTACTCATTTCAGCACTTAGTAGAGGGTGTTGATTTTCTGGTCAACAATGAATGCCTATATCATCGGCGTCGTGCCCCTCATTCGATGTACATTGGACTCGAGCAGAATCAGCCATCTTCCTTTTGTTCGGTCTTCCTTGAGACCATTTCCCCATAACTTTTATATCCTAGGGGAATCCCCCCAGTCATCATTAATACCAAATAAATTATGGTATATCATTGACCAACTCGTGTTTATATCACAAATGTTGGATGCGTACTATAAAAAGTGCTTATATAAAAAAAAACTTTATAACGTTTCCGTCCATAACGTACTTAGAACAATATAATTAGCATCATAATACAAAACACAAATGTTTGACAATCAGGAATTCAATAATATTCATGTTTTTTTTCTGACAGGAGACATTCTGAATTAATTTAAACATTATAAAAAAATAATTACCTTGGAATAAATAAAATGTAGGCGTATTCATTTTGCGAATAAATAAAATAAAGACGTAGTCATTTTTGGAATAAATAAAATATAGTCGTAGTCATTTTTGGAATAAAATAGAATAAAATAATTCCAAAAATGATCCAGACTATATTTTATTTATTCCAAAAATGACTACGCCTACATTTTATTTATTCCAAAAATAACTATATTTTATTTATTCCCAAAATGATCACCTCTAAATTTTATTTATTCCCAAAATATAACAATCACATGACTTATCGAAGACAAAAGGGTAGAAAGGGACTGTCAATAACATACATAACAAGTTTGTGCAAATAGATAGATCGAGGAACCGGACGGACATGAAAAATACAAACATTGGTAAAAGCTACAAAATACGGGAAATCATGGAGGGCCATGATCGCCCACATCCTGAAGGGAGAGTTCAAATAAAAGAATAAATTATCGCGCTTCTTGTATGTGTTGTAGTTTCCGTGAGATTAAATAGGCGACATTGCTTTCGTTGATTGTAATTTAATTACTTGATAACAATTTCTGTTATTTTCTCAGTTCGTGCAATTATTTCTTTCATACTGTATTTTCGCCTGATTTTTCATTTTTTTTCTTCAAACGTTTTCTTCTTTCATTTTTATTTATTAATTCCTGCTTTCTTTCGGCGTTTCTCTATTTTCCTTCCTGACATCATTCTGCCTTCTTTCTTAAATAAGTTTTTTATTTAATTTCGTTAGTTTTTTTTTTCTTTCTTTCGTGTTTTATTCGATATTCTCTTCTTTCCTTCTTTCTTTCTTTCTTACTTCCTTTTTCTCAGTTATTTAAGAACTACTTATTCATTTTTGTCTTTCATTATTTCGTTCTTTGAGAGTTTTATTTTTAATATTCTTTATCAGTTTCTTCTCTTTCTTTCAAAAGAATTCGTTCTTTCGTTTTTTTCTTTAATATTTTCATTCTTTGATAAATTCTTATTTCGTTGATATTCTTTTTATCATTATCATCATCTTTCCTTTCATTGAAATTCTCATATTGCTTTCATTATTAATTTTCGTTGCTCCTTTTTAGGAGTCCATTTGGTATTTCCTTGCCTTATTTTGATAATCTTTACTTAATATTTGACAGTTTCTTTCTTTTTTACGTGATTCCTTCTTTATTTCTGTCCTTCTCTCCTTTCTATTTTTTGTTTTTTTATTAATTTCCTTCTTTTTTTTTCCTTCTCTCGTTTTGTCGCTTGTGAGGATAGTGGCTGCTAATCAGAGATTCCAATTCCAGTCGAATTTGTGACCTCCACTTACGCGGAATTACTCTTGTTAAAGGTGCGAATCCATCTCTTCTCTCCCAGATATGGGTTAAATAATAACACTTGTATGTAGGAAAATCATTGTTATCTCCAAGAAATTAATATAAAATTTATTTGCAAAAAAAAAAAAAAAAAAAAAAGAAAAAAATTATTCTTATAATCTGAATAATATGTTTCGGCTTTAAATATCCTATAAAAAGAGTACAATTGTGCTTACCCTGTACAAGACCGGAGAGCCAGTCAAGATAGAGGGTTAAGGATTATGTGGCACAAATTATGCGCATATTGGGGAAGATAACGGTTAACCATTGACTTAAACTAGTTAAGATTTTAGTGGTCGGGGAAGCATCCACTTGGGAGTCTGTTTCATAAAGCGGCTAAGCTATAAAAAACAACCAACAAATCAATTCCTCCTGTCCTTTCATATAGTTCAATACGTTTCAGATATTTCCACTGAGTTGCTTTCCTGCATTAATAACTTATTTTTTATTCGGTTCAGTTATTTTTTTTCCTTATGTCTTTTTTCTTTCTTCTGTTCATTCATTCATTCATTCATTTGTACGCTTCTGTGAACGCACATACCTGACATATGGCGCCAAGACAAACTAGAAAAGATTAGGAACAGAAGTCGTCTAGACAAGTGAAGGAGTGTTACCATTCATGGACAATTGTATTCCATCTTCATTGACCCTCCCCACCCTTCCCAATTAGCTGACAACTGTAAGCGTCAATACCTTATTTTGCTCCAAACATTGCACAGCCTGGTCAACCTTAAACGCAACCCACTTTAACGCACTCAGTGCTATTTTTTTTTTCATTTTGATTGAAGACATTTCAAACTGTTTCCGGAATCAATCGGGCTAACTTTTAAGCTCTTACCTTCTGTCGACTGATTTTTCTTTTTCATTCTATCTTTTTTTATTCGTGAATCTTGTCGCTTTTTGTAGCTTATGGTAGATAGGTTTTTAAGTGTTTTACTCTTCAGATTTTTAGTATTTTTCGTCAGTCTTGCATTATACTTCTCACTTTGTTGTTCTATATTTTACGTGTTCAATAATGTTTTTGTTTTTAAGGTGGTTCTTTTATTTCTTCCCAATGATTTAATTCTCATGCTATACGATTAGCTCAAATCTTTTTGAACCTTTCGAATTATCTTCTGCATTTCTACACTCTTCTCTTCGTCTTTTCTGTACTTTTAGACGTCACTTCCTCTCTTTCTTTTCATCTCTTTCTTATTTCTTTCTTTCGCTCTTTTTCTTACGAGGTTTCTTTCTTTTTGTTTGTGTAATTGTTTGTTTATTTCATTCTTTCTTTCTTTCGCTCTTTCATTTTTTTTATTTCTTCTTTTTTGTCTTTCATCCATTCATTCTTTCTTTATTTCTTTCTATCTCTCTTTCTTTCAGAAGACGAAGAAGAAGAAGAAGGAGAAGAAGAAGAAGAAGAAGAAGAAGAAGAATACCATATCCTTTTTTCTTTCTTTTTCATTTACATTTTCATTTCATTGCTATTTCTCTTTTACTTTTTGTCCCAAATACTTTCTTTCTTTATTCCTATCTTTTCTTTCTTCCTATCTTTTTCCTTTCTTTCTTTCTTTCTTTCTTTCTTTCTTTCTTTCTTTCTTTATTTTCTGTATCTTTCTCTCTTTCTTTCTTTTTTTCTTTAAATTTAATCTACAATTTATTTTTCCTTATTTTTATATTTCTTTCTTATTAATTTCCGAATATTAAATGCCTATTTCCTTTCTTTTCTTTCTTTACCTTTTGTTCTTTTTTTCCATTTCGTCCTGACAACCCTTTTTATTCTTTCTTTCTTTCTTTTTTCTGTCTTTCTCTTTCCTTTCTTTCTTTCTTTCTTTCTTTCTTTCTTTCTTTCTTTCTTTCTTTCTTTCTTTTCCTTACTTTCTTTTTCTTTTTCTTTCTCCTCTCTTTATTTCTGTCTTTCTCTTTTTCTTTTCTTTTCTTTCTTTTTTTCCTTTCTTTTTCTTTCTACTCTCTTTCTGTCTTTTTAGTTCCTCTCTTTCTTTCTTTCTTTCTTTCTTTCTTTCTTTCTTCTGTCTTTCTCTTTCCTTTCTTTCTTTCTTTCTTTTCTTTCTTTCTTTTCCTTACTTTCTTTTTCTTTTTCTTTCTCCTCTCTTTCTGTATTTCTTTGTTTTTCTCTCTCTCTCTCTCTTTGTTTGTTTGTTTCTTTCTTTTTCTTTTTCTTTCTCCTCTCTTTATTTCTGTCTTTCTCTTTTTCTTTTCTTTTCTTTCTTTTTTTCCTTTCTTTTTCTTTCTCCTCTCTTTCTGTCTTTTTTGTTCCTCTCTTTCTTTCTTTCTTTCTTTCTTTCTTTCTTTCTTTCTTTCTTTCTTTCTTTCTTTCTTTCTTATACATATTTCTACTTCATCATTTTTCTTTAAATTTCTTCTCTTATTTTTTCAGTCTTCACTTATTTTCCCCACCACGTGATCATCCTTTATATTTTATCTTTCCCCTGCTAAACCCGGGTTTACATGACTTATAAAAAAAAGAAGAAGCTCTATTGGTCTGTTATTTTTTTTTTGTTCTCTTCTCGTCCGGCAAACAGTGAGTCTTCGAGATTTTACGCAAATTCAACTGTCCCTCACGCATCTATCTTCCCAACCAACCCAACCAAGCCTCCTGCCTACCGACACACATCTCAACCTCTGTTTCTTTGCTCTTTAAGCATATTCTCCAGTCCTCTTTCCATTTACTGCCAGAGACTCTTGACAGACTTCTCTACGACCTCATCACCAACACTCTGTCAAAAACCCATTTGTTTTAATGTCAGCGCCTCCTCTATAGACTGCCTTCAAAAACACAGTTCTGCCAGTGACCTCAAGCAAGGACAATCTTTTTAATTTGACCAGACATACACATAAAACAAATGAATATATTTAAAGAAAGTATGGATTTCGTGTTGCAAAATAACAGTTATCAAGCTTGACTTGCACTTTGACAATGACATATTAATTTCGGAACTTAGTCGCGATCGCTCGAAACGTGGTGGCTTGTGCCATACTAGGCAAAGTACTAAATGTCGATATTTATTCCGGTTAAATTAGTCGGTCGAAGTTAAGCAAGGTCGAGCCTAGTCAGTACCTAGATATCTGACTGCTTGGCAATATCAGCTGAAGTAAGCTTGGATATGCGGTAATGGATAACGATTTGAAATTAGAAATCGGGGAGCCGAGTTCAAATTCCAGTTGGGTTCGTTAAAATCATTTCTGTGAAAGAAAAAGAAGTAGAAGAAGCACAACTCCTAGTAGCACAACTCTGTGTTTCATGCACGATTCAATCATCAGGTGCTGATTCAAAACTGACCGCTGTAGTATTTAAATATTCATATTTATACTGTACTGCTAGGGTAGTGGAGAAGCTCATTAATTTAGGAAAAATATACACTCACATACATACAAAAGTACAAATATATACATATAATTTAAATAATGATATACATCTCTATCTATAAAAGGCAGGATGTGTGTGTGTGTGTGTGTGTGTGTGTGTGTGTGTGTGTGTGTGTAACGAATGCACGTCCGCAATTTTCGACGGATTTGCACCAAAATTTACATGCACATGCTCCAAGTTAGCGGGAAGGCCAAGACCAACGTTGCATTTCCCAACTCCCATCCATAGTGGAAATAATCGATTTTTCATACTTCTACGGCAGTTTTCATGTAGTTTGCGGCCATTTTGTACTGGCCAGAGTGAGAGCCTATAGCTGGCTGCCACAAATAGGCAGGAAGATTCTATTGGCCAGCGTGAGAGCCAACAGCTGACTGACACCAATGTTAACTAGCATGCTAGCATGCAAAAAAATCGATAGCTGCATTCGTCACAAGTGGAAAAAATTTAAATCTGCATGGCACTTTACTCCAATTGGCTCATTCGCTTGCTTAAACTCAACGTTGATTCTGATTCCGCAAAACTGGGTTGGGTGTGAAAAAGTATTTGTTGTTAACATTCTTTTTTCATTCGGGTTTTCCAGTTACGAGTCCTTTTTTAAAGCTGATCGTTCTGTGTTCATTTTGTTTAGTTCTTTTTTCGTAACAGATTTAATGTTTAGTATAGAGCTTAGAAAAAATTCGCAGTGTGAGATAGGCAAGAAGTAAGGCATGTATCAACATCATCACGGCAAAGGGAACTCCTTTAAAGGCAAGGAAGGGCAAAAAATATTTTAAGTCAAGTCATAGGGATTGCTGTATGAGTCGCACGATTTTTGAATCAAGCACGGGCAACGCCGGGCCATGCTGCTAGTACCAACATATTAAGCGGTACGGATTTTACTGGAATTCGAATTCGGCTTTCCGATTCCTCAGTCGAAGCCGCTATCCATTACTCCATCGTGCCTGCTCATATAATATATACATCATGTAAATAAACAATCTAATAAAAAAAATAGTGTTTATTATTTATGTTGTCAATTCCCAAAAAAAAAAAAACATGTATAAATTCACTTTATCGTATGTTTAGTTTTGATTACATTTCTCATCACAGTTTTTTTTTAAACAGTAAACATTGCTTGGGATTGAAGGTAGTTAAAATAATAGCGGTTTCAAGAGAACAAAAAACTCTTTTCGACACTATTTTTTGTGAGGACGAAGGTCCAAGTTTGCGGACACATTTATGCCATGCACCATGCGCCTCTTTTGAAAGATTGTAGATGCCAGTCATCATGTTTATCGGATGACTGATACAGAAATGAGGCAATCCAAATACGACCTTTATCTCGAAATATAAATCTTGTAATATACACAAAATGTAATCTGCTTGAGAAAATGTCACACGTATTTTATTGCGTCAAAGCATAAATATACGAGAGGCAAAAGAAAAAACGAAACAAAGATAATAAAATCCATGTAAGTTTATGGCGATATAGAAAGTTCGGCTTTCATCCGGGTATTCTTTTTTCTTCACAACATACAGAATTGAACAGATGTACGAATTATTTCAGAAGCCAGGCTTTCAGGGCAGGTTTTGTCGGTGTGCTTCTAGCGAGTTCAATCTTCACTGCATATCTCACTAAGCAGGTTTAGTGACAGATCAAGTTTAATATTTATTTTATTGACAACAGATTTACTTAGGATTGTGTTTATTCATTTATCATTTATCTACCACCTTTCAAAATCTAAACAAAATACAGGTAAATTTCGTTAGAAGCAAGTAAATAAATACTGAAATGATAGTACCAAACAGCAGAAGACGATTGCATGATTCACTTAAGATGCCAATTAACCCTATAATGCCGAGTGTCTAAACTTGGTGATGATAGGCATTAATCGGATAGAGATAGATGCATAATTAATATTGGATTTAAAATATAAAAGTATAATTAAAATTGAATTTTTATTAATTAATAAAAGAACAAGGGGTTATAATAAGCATTAATGAGGTAAACAGGATTTGTTATGCTCAATCTTGCTCCAATCCTGGGCAGATAGAACCAATGTTGGCTCGATAGGTCCGATGTGCTTTAACCGACATGTCTCGTATATATATATATATATATATATATATATATATATATATATATATATATATATATATATATATATATATAGTTAATAATCATTCCGCATATATATATATATATATATATATATATATATATAATATGCAGAAAGATTACTTAACTGTAAATACCAAGTTTTGATGTTGTTTCCCCGACTTCGAAGTTTCTTATAATTATCTATTCTTCAAAGGGTCTTTTTTTTATATATATATATATATATATATATATATATATATATATATATATATAAGGAATGAATGAGAGAACGAAAAAGTGAGGAGAAAGATAGGAAACAGAAAGAATAGTAATCAGAGGATCAAAAGGATATTTACAGTGACAATAGGGGTTCTTTATGAATAAGAAACTCTGGTGTTGTTTAAATATGACCCTTTCCTTCTCTCTCTCTCTCTCAGTCAATGCGCATTCATTCTTTTTGTTTTTCTTGTTCGGCTTTGACTTGACTGATCTCTTTCTGTTTTTCTGATGTCTTCAGAGAGATAAGCGAACAAATGTGTTGCTCCTTTTTCTTTCCTAGACAACGCTCTCCCGTCAATAGCGAAAACGAGGTGAGACACTTACGTCGCTCATAGCAAAGGAAGACAACTCGTATAGAAGCCAAACGTTTCCCGAAGGCATTGGAAAGCGACGAAATTAATCTAACAGCTTCAAATTACGTATTTTTCTCGTGAAGCCCCTGGAGATTTTTTGTGCTATTAACTCTGTTGATTTGTGCCAGATTTAATCTGACTAGAATACCGATTGGTGAAAAAAAATGGTGTGCCAAATACAATAAAAAATGACGAAAAAAAAAAAAGATCAATTGAAAAAAAGCATATTGAAAAATAGCAACATCTTCACATTTCTGGAGGATAATTAAATTTTTTGTATAATATAAACTTAGATCTAGACTATCCTAATCAAGCCGAACTGGGTATAACAATAAACTACATCCGGAAGAAAGGACTCTGATGGGGAGGTATTGAGGAACATGGAACCATTTTTTAATTGCTCTTGTTCCCAGGCCAACTCAGATCCCGGGTGGTTGCGCCTATTAGTGTGTCAGTTATGAGAAAATAGCGAACCCAAAACAAAACACTATAAAAGAATAAAAATGCATTTTAATAGTAAAAACTACTAGCAATGCATTTTTATATAAAAAAAAGGATCGATAATACATAATGTTATAGTGGAACACACCTATTCTATTGATAATAAACTCTTCCACCTATAATAAGTAGGAGTAGTAGCAGTCGCTAAGTGGATCAGTGAGTTGGTCAGTCAGTCGATGTCGGACGACCGTTAGTCGGATATTAAAGTTTCAGCCACCACAACTAGATTGCTGCGTCATTACCTATTATATCAAGTTCCTAACGTTTTGTACGTCGAACCTATTTTAGGACCGACTTAGTACAAATACAAGCCTCCACTGTGAAACTGCTCTACAACACATAACCAACAATATATTTTATCTGTAGTTGAAGACATACAATTGCGTTCAAACTACATTTGGTTGAAGCCATATAATTATATTCAAACTAGCAGCATGGCCCGGCGTTGCCTGTGTTTGATTCAAAGATCGTACGACTCATACAACAATCGCTATCACTTGACTTAAAATATCTTTGCCCTTCCTTGCCTTTAAAGGATAACCCTTTGCCGTGCTGATGTTGATACATGCCTTACTTCTTGCCTATCTCACACTGCCAATTTTTTTCTAAGCTCTATACTAAACATTAAATCTGTTACGAAAAAAAGAACTAAACAAAATGAACACAAAAGGATCAGCTTTAAAAAGGGACTCGTAACTGGAAAAACCGAATGAAAAAAGAATGTTAACAACAAATACTTTTTCACACCCAACCCAGTTCTGCGGAATCAGAATCAACGTTGAGTTTAAGCAAGCGAATGAGCCAATTGGAGTAAAGTGCCATGCATATTTAAATTTTTCCCACTTATGACGAATGCAGCTATCGATATTTTTTGCATGCTAGCATACTACTTAACATTAGTGTCAGTCAGCTGTTGGCTCTCACTCTGGCCAATAGAATCTTCCTGCCTATTCGTGGCAGCCAGCTATTGGCTCTCACTCTGGCCAGTATAAAATGGCCGCAAACTAAATGAAAACTGCCGTAGAAGCATGAAAAATCGATTTTTTCACTCTCGATGGGAGTTGAGAAATGCAATATCGCTCTTGGCCTTCCCGCTAACTTGGACCATGTGCATGTAAATTTTGGTGCAAATCCGTCGAAAACTGCGGTGTGCATTCGTTACACACACACACACACAAACACACACACACACACACATCCTGCCTTTTATAGATAGAGATTATTTAGATTTCGGCATTAAATAACCCATAGAGGTTGATATGCCGCCAAACTAAATCAACGAATCAACCTAATCAAAAAGCACAGTAAAGGCATTAACGCAGTGTCTCTGAAGTATACACTGCATGCTAGAGTAGCTATGTACGTTCCTAAGGGTTTTATTTCGAATAGTACTGCCACTATTATTACTACTACTAATAATGTATAATGAAACTGGTATGAACATCACCCAGACATGGGTTACAGAGATTGCACCTGTTACAATTTTATGGAACTTTGCAATATACACAATCGAAGCTAATCACCCAGACATTGTGATTAAAGACAACAAGAAAATAATGTGCCTTCTTATTGATATGGCAGTTTCTGCAGATTGTAATATACCTTTGAAGAACTGAAAAAATTATCAAATTACATTGCTTTTTTTTTATTAGAGTAGCAGTGTTTCAATCAAAATTTTGGTGAGACTCGTTACGGTGAGCAACAAATGAATTTAATATGTTCGTTTGGAAAATATCCTTTTTCTGTTCATATAATCTTTATTAATTTTTTTTATATATATATACAAAATTATATATAGTGATTTTCCAATCGTAGCTTAGATATGGCACAAGGGCGAAAGTTTGGGGTACCCAGTGAGGATCGAACTCACTACTCAGGCGTAATTATTTTAGCGAGACAAGCTTGCTAACAATTACTCCGCCTCGGGGTGCCTATACAAAATTATATATAGTTATGCAATATATTCCGGGTGTAACAGTAAAAATGTTCAAATCGTGTAACTGTAAAATTGTATAATTGCCTTATTAAGTTTTTCAACCGTTGTATCTTAGAAATGATTAAAGGTATCTTACTGGAATTTCCTGAAGCTTTATAACTCTATTGAACTCTACGTTGATCAATAAGAATGTATAATTACTCTCCAAGCTTTACAGAAGAATCGTAATGAAGTCGATCATTAACAAAAATGACGTGTTCATCATTAATTAATTATAGGCAGGTATCGGAAACTCATGAAAGACAGAAATTAAGTTTATATATATATATATATATATATATATATATATATATATATATATATTATGTTAGGATGACTTTCCAATTTGAAAAAGAATGCTCTTCGCCCTCTCTAACCTTCTAACTTTCTGTGCTGGTGTAAAAAGTTGCCTCACAGTTTTACGGTATGATTTCATTTTCAAGTCTTTTTCACTGCTCTTTAGACTGTTACAGCTGGAAACCCTCTCTCACGCGACAAACATCTCATGGATTGACTTGGATCATTTCTAATTGATCTATTTAGCTCTAAGTTAAAAGGATGATCCCTCTTCCTGTTGTGATCTTCTGATCCAATTTTCCTCTCTACTGTCCACATTTGTTACAACTTATTCAACCTTCTCTTGAAAGGATTTGAAGATTGAGGCCAGTGTATGAATGATCTTTTTCCTCTTACCATTGCTCAGTTGGGATGATATACACAATATTTTAACCAGTTCTCTATTTAGCAGAATAACTCAAATGGTTTTTTCAGTGATTTGTACGAGAAATGCTTTCAAGATCACTAAACGTCTTATCTGAAAACCTGGAATAAAGAAACTCAATCAGTTTAGAGGATTTTCAGGTATTAAACATTTTGCAGGTTGGACAATTATGCTGTTACACGATTAGGACAATTTTGCTGTTACACCTGTATATATGATCGGACATGTTACAACCTACGTTTTCTTGACCGGACGTATTCCAACTACAGCTTTCGTCAGACGGAGTTCAGATGAGACATTCGTGACGGAGAAGTGGAGGAAGTTGTGCATAAATATGTTAGATTGGTGACGGAAAAGGCGTGAAAGAAATTTAGAGCAACATTAGCATAACGTTTTCTTTGAAGGTTGATAAAAGTGATATATGCAAGCCCTACTGAAAATAACTAATAGTAAAAATGTAATAAAGAAATTTAGTAATTGTCAGTGGCACAGTCAGTTCGAGGAAAGGCGAAAGGATGTGCAGGTTGAGGCAAAAAGTGGACTTTTAAAACACACAAAGAACAGTTGCAATTGTAACCAGACTGCAAACGTAGATACTCTCCTATAGAATATGAAGTGCGTCACAGTAGGACTGGATATGAACAAGGAAACAGTACGGATGATTCTAACAGAAGATTTGGAAATGAAAATAAAAGTGCGCTTTAGTAGTTCTCGATATCCTGGTTGTGAAACCTAGTACAGAAATGAAACATCCATCGTATTCACTAGAAGTAACACCTGTGAACTTTAGCTAAAAATTGAATAACGTACACGAGAGGCCAAAAAATTTACTAATAACCCCGACGTCGAACAACACAGAACATGTTGATGAATGTCATGACATCAGTTCTGGGAAAAGAATACAAAGCACGCATACCTTAAAAATAGCAGAGTAATTTTATAATAACACCTGCCAATACTGTATCAATATATATATATATATATATATATATATATATATATATATATATATATATATATATATATATATATACATATATATATATATATATATATATATATATATATATATATATATATATATATATATATATATATATATATATATATATATATATATATATATATATATATATATATATATATATATATATATAGTGATACCACGGATAATGTCGTTTTACTGAAGTTTACTTCGGCCGTTAAAAGTATTAGAAATGTCAAAACTGTACAATAGTAATAAACACTTATAAAATCATATTTAAATAAATTGAAAAAGATTTTTTATGGTATATATATATATATATATATATATATATATATATATATATATATATATATCATAAAATCGTCGAAAAAAAAAATTAGCATAATAAAGTATGTTCACCAGATGTTGTTATTTCAAATCCGCGCCAACAGGCGGCACTCGTGCTTTATTTTCCGCTCAAACACCGATTTTGAATTCGAGTTTACATCTGTGCTCTGCCGTTGACGTCCTTTCATTTACATTTCAATTGTGATTTAGAATACATTCTTGCCCAGGAATAAAAGTTCCAGAGCAAGTGATTATGTTAGTTTTAAGCCTGTATCCTTGGAAGACAATGTAGAAATTAATTATTTTACTGAGAATACTGTACGTACATATAATAAATACTGTAATAGGAAATGG